CCTCCATCTGTTATTTCCCCATTAAAACAATATATATTTATTCATGAAAACAATCAATTTTTTGTGACTCCCTGTTGACTCAAAAGGGTTTTTGTGTCAAAGTGTTTTGAAATTATCCATCAATTTTAACTTGTTGTCTTCTTTACCTAAAAATGATCATATATGCCCATCAGTTAACAGCTGTGACTTTCACCCTTATCCAGACCTGATGTCAAACATACTGTATATTTGGACTTATTAATGTAGTCTGTTGTCCATACCTGCATATTTAAGATTAAACAGCATAATTCTTGAACAAACATTAACCTTAAAGCTGATTTTCAAAGAGAGAAACAAATTAGATATAGCAGCTGAGCTCTCCCTCTGATATAAAATCTTTGCCTTTCTGTTTTTTCTGTCTCAAAAGCACATCACTCGTTAAATGCTTGTTCTAACAATTGATGTTTGCTCATGTCAACATGTTGGGGTTCCAGTCTTTCCACCCTTTGGCGTAATAAACAATTTATAACTCAGTTTAATGCAGCATGAGTTTATTTCTCAAAAACCTTTGTTTTTAGAAATATTTCTGGAAAGTCTGAAGAAGGTGTGATGCAACACATGTGTTTTTATGTCACTGGATAAAAGAGAAAACGTGAAATTTGGTTGAGAGTGGAAAATGAATCAAACTGTTTCCCACATTATCGGCTTATAAAGATGTCAGGGAAAGGGAGTAAAAATGTTTTGTTCTAATTTTTCTGCTTACTACTATGACAAAGCTTCAAATGTAAACACAATATTTATTTTTTTTTTTTCATTATTTTGCTGTATTTTTCGACTTAATCAGCTGAGTTGTGAAACCAAGTTTCCCTGGCTCAGCGTTGTGGTTCCAGTAGGTATTTGCTGTTTGGCAGGAATCCAGAGGTCAGCAGGACCAAACAGCCTTTTTTAGTTGCAGGAAGCTTAGGCGATCCCACAGGACCACAGGGCAAAATGGAGACAGGGTTTTAACAGTCATCTAAACTGTTTCTGCACTTTAGTGTGACACTTTTTAGCAGCTAGGGGATCTAGGAAGGGGCCGTTCCAGCAGAGCTGATTACTGCAGACAATGAAAAGTCTGTTTAAAGCCTCAGTGCAGCAACAGAAACCCTTCACCAGCTCCACAATTGTCCCTTTTTCTCCCTTTCTTAGGTTTAATCTAGAAACATGACTGTGTAAAAATAAAATAAAGCTTAACAGATTTAAAATATTTCTCTCCTAAACATTTTCACTGACCTCAGGGATTCTAGTATTTATGATGTACAGTGTAATGTTGTTAAGTGTTCTCCAGTTTCATATCTCATTTTGCACCTGTTGGAATACAGCCTTACAGTTATGGAGTGAATGTTGTTCCATTATTGTTGCAATCAAAAAAACAGTAAGATTTTGTAAATGGAAATAAAAAAAAATATTAAAAAATGCTATCCAGAAATTAAATTTTAGAGAAAGTCTTTATCAAAAAAGGTTTACAGACTAAGTTTGCTGCTTTTCACTTCAAGCCCATTACAAACGCTCAGTCTTATATATACTTTATATATACTTATATATAAAGTCAAGCCCAAGAAGTGGAGAGAATGTGATCTCTAAAACTGAATTTGAAAATAATGACATTTGTAAAACTAAATTTGAAAGATAAAAAAAAAAAAAAAATGTATGTATGAAATCTGTAAAAACTACAAATTGAAAAGATTGAAAAAAAATCTGTAAACTAATATCTGAAAAAAAAAAAAAACAGCAAAATTACTCTTAAAATAGTTTTTTTCTTTTACGTATGTTTCAAAGTTTGATTTACATTTTTGTTATTTTCATTTATAACATGTGCTCTTTACTCACAACAATAAAGAAACAAAATTCACTCCATATACAGGTGACATCACTACAATATATTGTTGAGTGTATTACTGCAGCCTTTATCCCATGGCTGCAAACCAAGACCGCATTAGTATACCTCCACTGCTATGTTTTAGAGTGTTAAGAAAGTTTAATCTAAAAGAAGAAAAACATAAATATTCCATAACACCATTTGGGTTGCTTTGTTATTTAAAAAAAAAACAAAAAAAAAAAACAAAAACAAAAAAACTGTTTTCTGGTCCAGGGTAAGTTAAACACAAAATCCTTTTTTATTGTTTGAATAGATTAAAAAAAAAAAATAAGTGAAGTCTGTCAAGTCTGAGTGGAAGACTTTTTATATATATATATATATATATATATATATATATATATATATATATATATATATATATATATATA